AGCAGGAAGAAATTTTGGTTTATACAGGAGCTAGTATTGTTTGATTAATTAATACGATGTAGCTCGCATGTTGGGAACAGATGCATGTATGGTATATTTTGACCAAGACTCGATAGGCCGACGAGATATGAGGATTGAATTAATATCGATGTTTGGAAAACTATTTTTGGGGATGAGAGGTGGATGGAACTGGCTCAGGATGTTGTCAAACGAGAAGGGTTGAACCCTAGGGTCCTGATACCAGAAAGTTTCGCCAGCTGACCCAAGGGTTTTAGCAGCTGAGCGGATACGTACTGCTGTCGGCGCACGGCGTCCCGAGGCGTCATTGTGTCAGAATGCCATCAGAAACTACGACTATTTCCGAATAAGACTGCCCATGAGTCCTCTGTCCGGGATTTGTAAGTTCGCCTGGGATGGCGTGTACTCTGATCCCCGTCATCTAAAGACCCCTATCAAATAACGTAACAGGCTTCCTGACCGAAATATGGACAGTTTTTTTTTCTCCAGAGATTCCTGCGATATATAACGACACTTCTTTGTGTGACTCCATTTTCAGATAGAGTCATGGATGCGATTTTTAAACCTCAGAGTCACGAATATTAATTTTAAATCTCATAGGGTCACGAATGACGTATCTGAGACTCTCAAAGACTCGGTTGGATCCATATGACGTCACATCCGGTAGAAGTAAACGACACGCAATTCCCACACAGTTACGGGAGGGGGGGAGATTAGGACAGCAGCACCAATTTTACTTTTGTGCGGACATGAGGGCTGGTTTTTTTGGGGGGGGGTTGCTGGTCGCGTGCCATGTAATCCCCCTGTGTGTGGGGGTGTGTCGAGAGGTCAGGTGGCGGTCTCTGCTCAGACAGGTGACCGGGGTTCGGGACTGTACAACACAGGTTTCACTACAAAAGTCATGTGGTGTGGGAGAAAGTATTTTAACAACCAGGAACTCAGAAAAATAATCCTGTGCACTCAGAGAAGCTCGGAAAGCGTGTTCGTATCCGGAACACGCATAATATCCTCGTGAGTCCTTTCAACGTGAAATTGGTGGTATCAAATCCGCGTTGTTAGATAGTTCCTACTTTGGCCACCAGATCGCAGGACCTCAGTTTCTACCTCACGAATTTCCTCATCCGTAATTTCTTTATCACCGCTCGTAGAATATTAAAATATGATTTTGAGGTTGTGCAGAATAGCATAAAATGTCATCCAAGTCAGTATAAGCATATATCAACCCTTTAAAGAAGTAGCACTTCATAATTTCTTGTCAACTACTCAGTGATATTTTTTAATAGTTAGTAAGCTGCACAATTCTCGTGTTTGAATTGGTCATTCGTCTTTGTTACACGTCTTAACTAAATTTATTGAAATTCTCACCACATTAAAATCAGAGCATTGCTATAACAGTTTAAAAATTATCACGTAGTTCAGGGCTTTTGCAAATAAGTTTTCCCCACCTATCAGCCCCGTAAGCACGGATTTACAACGCGTAATTTCAGAGACTGTTTTGGTCTCATCTACAGGGTAGATATCACAGCAGTCAGTCGTAATAAAAAAACGTATAATCGAAAGTGGTTGGTTACTTTGCAGAATTGTTTTTCCTCCCTAAAATACCAATATTTTTTACGAAGTCTGCTCGGGACGGGTTTACATAACGGGGTTCGGGAGACGTGCGTGTGTATTCGGAAATGGAATTCTTCCTTAAAAGAAGAATTCGTGTTTCAGAAAGTATTCAGTTCTGCGGTTCCATATCCTGGCACCCCTAAAGCACGCGCCGCCACATTCCTCAGCTAGAAGCCCTTGTATGAATTATGAAAATGAAGCAGTTTTGAGAACATGCAGTGACACAGAAAAAAAGCCTAACTTTCCTCTTCGTTATTAGACTATAACGGATTCGAAGTATGGACCAGCTACTGTGATTTGCCGTCTGCATTCTTTTGTTCTTATGACCTTCATCAACCCCCTCCCTTCTTTTAGTTGGACTCGTCCATTATAGGAAGGAGGGGGCATCTTCTTTACCATCCCCCTTTGTAAAAATTCGCCCTTAGCCGACCCATACTCTTTTGAGTACAGCTGAGTCAAATGAATACTTGGCACCTGACGAGAAGATGTCTGTGTCTTAACGCCGTGTCGATGTCTAGGAAGATGCCAATGTTTCGGAGGAGCATACTGCCTCTATCATCAGGGCGATAATCGCAAGGACCTCTGCAACGTCGGTAAACTTCTATCAGACGACACGGCCCAACAACCCGGAAGACGGCCATCCCAGGACTTACACCGCCGTGAAGACCTCAGATTCTACTTATGCTGTAATTAATTAATTTCCATCAGTTTCAGATGAGACTCTAGTTACTAGTTTTGTCACAATTATTTATTTTAATCCGTCTTATCACAATATTTAAAAAATTTTATAATTAAGATAATAAAATATCATTGATGTTCCATATCGATTGATTGATTGATTTATTTTTTTTTTGACCCACACCTATACGATGACAGTCGTACTTCTGGACATATCGGAACAATCACTCCTACATCTAGGACCGATATGTACATCTGATAAAATTTAAGAAAAGACAACACCTCGCCCAAAATTGAAAAACAAATGGCATGAAACATCACCAAATGGAATCATATTTGAGTTTTAAGTTCGTAAATCTTTTACACCTGAAGATGGTTTTATAAAAACTGAAACATGTTGTGTAAAAGATGTTCCAAAATGTAAATCGATCAATCGATATGGAACATCAATGATATTTTATTATCTTAATTATAAGAAATTTTAAATATTGTGATAAGACGGATTAAAATAAATAATTGTTAGAATATTCACAATATGACGCAATTACACTATCTTACTAGTTTTGTATTAAATAAATTAACTCCATGGAGCAGAGTTCTTATTTTGAAGCTTGTAATCTCGTATCTGGCCAAGGTTCAGTACCATTTTGAAAATAACCGCTCATCTGCCCCTGTCCTGTAGACACACTTTCACCCTTTCTCCCTAATATCTACTTTAGTATTATTCTTTCATCCATGCTTACGTCATCAGACTTTCCTCTTTTCCTTAAGCTCTTTAACCAAAATTCTGTTCGAATTTTATTTTCTTTCAATGCGTGCTACATGCCCCGGTCATTTCGTCATCATTTATTTGATTATTATTAATAACATCGTTGAAGGATTTGAGGTTTTCATCATCCTGATGATGGAGGCAGCAAAGACCTCTGAAACGATGGATCTGGTTAAGATTAAAAATTGTGAAGCTCGTCACTAAGCATTTTTTCCCACCCTCCTGTAACTTCATCCCTCTTACGACCAAATATCCTACCTCAGCAAATGATATTTCAATTCCTTCAAGAATGTACATTTTTACCAAGGAAGTTAAATCAGAGGGGTGAGTTTATTTGTGTGAGACTGTACAATACAACCCCCCTGTTGCTGTATTTCTTCTTCCTCTTGTAAGTGTTTTCTTCGCGGTACGGACTGAATTCTTAAATATTATTTAGACGAGCTTCAGCGGCATATAACCTCGGAATAAAGTCATGTCCGGAAGTTAACACAGGACTTTCCGAAAAGGCGTTTTGAGCTAATTGTATCCTACGAGGGATAAAACACATGGCACTTGGGTTTCTTGGGCCCTGAAGCTCTCTTCATCCCTGAAAATAGAGGCAGTATGTTCTTCCTGAACCTTGGAATCGACCTAAAATTACACATGGCGTTTCAGAAGACCATCATTAACATATTCACCGCCATGACACCCTCAAGTCTCAGTTCTAACAGGTCTAGAGACCTATATTTGAACCCGGGACCATCCGAATAAGAAGCTGGAGTGCTAACCACTCTGTCACGACGTTAGTGGTATAAATCCCCAAGGAGAAACTGTTTAATTTTCGACTAAAAGAAAATAAAATCATTCTGCGATCAGAAACTTTAAAAAAAAAAAGGTCGATTGTGATGACCTTGATCGTCACTTGTTGCTTGTTTCGTGTGGATTTTGAGAACAATGACATGCAAATTGCCAAGGAATCAAATAAAACGAGTTTTACAATAAATTCGCGTGATGTCTCAGAAAAAAAGGAATATTAAAATTACAATTCAAGGTACGAGAAGCGGAGGCTGTGGGAACCCAAGGCGAACTCCACGGAGCACAGTCCTTAAAAAAAAAGCTAATTGTCGCTCAGCTAGTCAAGATATTTCCAGCCTTTTAACTAACCCAGAAGGTTCATCACCGTGTTCACAAAGAGTAAGCCATACGAATCCAATCTACACCCTCTCACCCAGCTCCATTAAGATAAATGTTAATATTATCTTACCATCTACTCCCTGGTTTTCCGAGCGGTTTCTTTCCTTCAGGTTTTTATCCAGTGTTTTGTACGCATTTACCATCTCCCCCTGCGTGCTACACCCACTTCCAATCTTATTATAATTGTTTGAGAGCACAGATCAGTTCTAACAATTCCCTCTGCAGAAAGGAAATTAATTGTGAAGCCGTAACTGTTCTTTAGCATTGGGCCAAAAA